ATGGTAGACGTGGTCTCCGTAGTAGTGGTCGTGCTGGTGGTAGATGTTGATGTCGTTGAAGTATCGGTTATTGTTGTCGTTGATGTTGTTGATGTGGAGATGGTTGATGCTGTTGTGGATGTAGTCGGCATGGTAGACGTGGTCTCTGTAGTAGTGGTCGTTGCAACCGATGTTGTCGTGGTTGAAGTCGTTAAAGTTGATTTCGCGGTCGTTGACGTCGGCGTTGTTGTTCCAGTTGTGGTTGAAGTTGTTTGTGCAGTTGTCGTCGTCGACGTGCTGTCTGTAGCAGTGGTCGTTGAGCTACTTTCTGTAGTTGTGGACATCGAACTGGACTTTGTTGTTGTGTTTGAGATGGTGTCTCTAGTGGTGATCGTAGTTGTGGTGACTGAAGTGGACGTTGTTGTTGTAGTTGAAGTTGTTTCCGTAGTCGTACTTGAAGCGATCAAAGTTGCTTCCACTGACGCGCTGGGTGTGGTGGATGTTGATATTGTTACTCCCACCGAGGTAATAAAACCTGAAGGAAAATGAAGAGATGGGAAAATATTGGATGAAAGAGTCCTTTTACAACAAGACCCGATAAAAAGTTTATCTCAAAATATGATGGGTAGCTATTATACTGCCAGCCTGTCTATGAGTTGTAATACAACTGAATGATTATCTTAAAGTCGAATCGTTTTTATTTAAATTTTTACAACAGATAGACTTGAAGTAAACTTGGATTGTAAGCGCGATTCCTGTAGTGATTGATTGGAATGCATACGAATTCCGTGCGTTGTCGTGGATCAAAATTTTCCACCAAATCAACAACGAATCACGGTAAATCATCAGCTCTATCTGATTGACTGCGTTTAGGAGTGTTTTATGATTTAAGGATGCCTTTTGTGATTACCGGGCACAGGCATATACAGTACCGGCCAAAATTATAGAACCACCTGTTTGAATGCGATTGTTTGCTCGCTGTCGACCATTCTAGACTGTTAAGAATAGAAAAGTCGATATGATTGCATGCATTCGAATATGATCTACGCATATATGAAATCAGATTTTCTCAACGCTACTGCCAAGTTGGAGAAAACAAATGTTTATTGAAATCTGTTGATTTTTTCCTGGCCAAAATTATAGAACTACCGTATTTTCGTTGTTTTGAATCGGAGTGGCGTTAGCTTTGCTTAGAGATCATAAAGACCGATAGAGAAGCTCGTTCTGAGCATTTGATCAAGCCAGGTCGTCTAAGTATAGTATTTTGGCTAAGAGACTTGCAATAGAGGCAGAACTGATTTTTGATAACAGATTCGGATAGAAAACATTTTTTGCTTCAAAATAAGATAGTCGCGAGATCTGCGCGTCATTTTGTTACAGAGATACATACACTAGCAAACTGACCCATAACTTCGAGCCGGTTTCGTGCTTTTTTTCGTGCAAGCAAGTAGCATCCCATGTAGACATGCCAGTCGACCACTACTACGGAGACCACGTCTACCATGTCGACTACATCCACAACAGCATCAACCATCTCCACATCAACAACATCAACGACAACAATAACCGATACTTCAACGACATCAACATCTACCACCAGCACGACCACTACTACGGAGACCACGTCTACCATGTCGACTACATCCACAACAGCATCAACCATCTCCACATCAACAACTTCGACAACGTCAACGACAACAACAACCGATACTTCAACGACATCAACATCTACCACCAGCACGACCACAACCACAACACCAACTCCACCTATTGCTGTTAGCAGTAACGTATCTTTTTGCGGTTGTTCAAATTTCATCTTGTCCTTGACCAGTATCTCGTTCAATACCACCAATGCTATCTATCAATGGGAATCTTCACTAACTGGTCAGAACATTTGGTATAATATCAGCACACCCAGTGCTACCTCATCATTGCTTGTAGCAAGCCAAGCAAGTTCAACCGATTATCGATGTCAAATCTTTGTTTTGTTTCCATCACTCATGAATTTGATATCGTCGATTGTAACTGTCACGAATGCCTTCTGCGCACCACGTGTGGTGAGTTGTGCTGCGGGTGATACTGTAAACGATTTTGTATTGATGGGGGAAGTGGGCACACTGATCTATGATTTGGCAACAGGTTGTGCGGCAAATAGTTACGATAACCGAACTAACGAATCAGTCAGTTTGGCGGGAAACATGAGCTATGTTGCTTTAGTATCAAGCCTGTTTTCGGGAGATAAATTCTCAGTCTGGATTGATTTCGATGATAACTGTGTTTTTGATTCATCGGAAATAGTAGCAAATCGATCGTTAAATGCAACGCGTGATACACCTGTTATTGTGTCCATCCCTCCCATCGGTCTGGTAGCCAAAACTGGTGTTCATCGAATGAGAGCAACATTGTCCTTCATATATGTACCTAGTCCATGCAGTCTAAATAATACGCTCGGCGAAACACATGATTATGCAGTGAATATTTTAACATATACACGTAAGTTGTATCATAGGTAGTAAACAGAAGACGTTGCAGAAGATCCTAGATTGGTGAAGACACAAATGTTCATCTCTCAGTTATTCTCTCCTCACTATAAAAAGCAAAAAGATCCTGCACTAAACACCAAAAGAAATAGCCATCGTTATTCGAACAACGACGATACTGCTGACAAAAGATAGCATCTGAGAGAATTTTCAACGCTCGTTTTAAACAGAAGCTGTCCTTGCACCGTCCAATATATTCGAGAAAGACTCCTAATTCTTGTGTCGTTTTTGTGTGCATTGTGACTCGTGTTTCTCTGTCTTCTTCGTCTCACTGTCGGCAACCGATCAAATCTAGCCATCTATGTATCGATATAGAAGTGGTCAAACAAAGTATCCGGACACCTAAATTTTTTTTCCTGCCTTTCGATTCATGCAACAGAAACAAAAGATAAAAGTTTTCTTTCTCTTCATTCGACAGCCTCCACTTCCTACTGTGTCCGTTGTAAAAAGCAGCAATTTCGATAATCATCGCTAATTTTCCGAAATTTTCTCAGAAAAATACCCTTTTTTCGATTCTCAATGAGCGAGTCTTTTTTTCTTTCGTACGGTAACACATAACCATTCTCAATCAATTGTATTTTTTCGAGTACACCATGCGAAGTATTTGAATAGTGATGTTCTGTTTGATCTTCGAAGTCAAGTGCAGCTATCTTTACAGCTAAAACAGATATAAAACTCAGATTTTGTAGAGAAAAAATTCTCATACAGACACGAGCCCGAAAGAAATCGAAGTTTTCAGGTGCGCTAACCTAGGTTCTTTCATGGTAAAAGCATAGAAACATCATCCGTCAGTATGCTTGAAAACATCACTCTTCAGTAGTAATATCCAAAAAAAGTCAGTGTTTGCACTTCCAACTAGAAATGAGTTATCCACCATTTTGTAGAGTTTTGAAAGAGCTTTAATCGATATATAATGTGGACCCCAATCTGGGTTCTTTCATGGTGAAAAAGTTGAAATACTATCGTGGAAAAGGTCATTTTTAACATTAATATTCCAAAAACGTGTGTTGGGCAATCGATAGTTTTATCCGTCGTTTAAAGCTGCATAGAAGTTATATAAGACTTTCCTTCAAACTTGTTGTATTCTGAGAAAAGTACGAAAAACACATCAGAATGGGTTCGCGGAGCTATTAGTCAAAGCTGATCGATTTTCTCACAGATATATAAGGTTCGAAGGGAAACTAATGGTCTAGAACCCCATAATATCATATTCTCTTTCAGTCTAAATATCTTTCGAAAAGATCCGAAATGGGACCAATTCTCGTTCTTATTGCACGCAATCCTTTGTTCCCTATTCACGTAGCTCTTCGCATTCTGCTCTTGCCAAATTATATTTAGTGGATTCATTTTAATAGTTCTACAACAAGTATATGAACGCGCAGGATAACTAGTCTCTTTGAAATTTCGAATATACGACGTGTCTCCATTCCTCATCAACACCACAAACTTCGCAAAATTCTAGCTTCAAGTAGATATTTTGATAGTAGCCTCGTGAAACTATTGATTACTAATTATTTAGTTGGCCTAAAATAACTTCGGCAATATTCCTTGCCGAAGATATATCTTCGGCACGATTTATATATAAAGTCAGCGGCCCTAATTCCATTCCCTTTTTTCGAGCGTCTTAGTAGATTGTTTATTACTCCACAGTTTCTCATTGTAGAAAGTTGATGTTTAGTTTCGAGAGTAGAGCAAATACTTCTGCATTGAATGATGTTTCATTCGTCGAACTGATAGTCCAAATTCCATAACCTCCAGCCAAAATGGCTGGATAATGCGATCGATCGCGCGAATAACTTTTTCGCTTAAGAAAAGTATTCAGAATTGAGCAGAGTTCGACATCGTTAGAATCCTCAGATCACGATCTATACACTGACATATTTTTCAGTAAAAACAAACCAAGTATAGTTTTCTATTCACTAGTAGATTTTACTATTTACTAGTAAATAGGCATGCACCAGTTAAAAATTGGTGTTGAGGCATCCAGAAGAATTGCCATACATCAGTTATCACGATTTGCTCAAAGCTGTGAAACATCTCATTCTGTAGAAAAATGTTTGCTCTACAAAATGCACTTTTTAAAAAAATTCCAAAATTATTTCTAAAAAACCTCAGAGTATTTGAAAATACATCAAATCACGAAAACAAAACCTGTTCGAACAGTTTTTTTTCGTGATCTGGTACATTTTAGAATGCTCTAAAGTTTTTTAGAAATAATTTTGGAATTTTTTTAAAAAGTGCATTTTGTAGAGCAAACATTTTTCTACAGAATGAGATGTTTCACAGCTTTGAGCAAATCGTGATAACTGATGTATGGCAATTCTTCTGGATACCCCAACACCAGTTTTTAACTGGTGCATACCTACTAGTAAATAAGTGAATACTATAATTACATCTTTACATATAAACTAAATATAAAGTCCCACGCATAAACCTCAGAAAGTTCATAGCGTTTCACCATGTTTCAATACTGGACGATAAAAGATATAGATATGTAGATGCATCATTTTTACCTCTTGATCACACCAGAAGAAAGCTGATTGTCTTGTCTGCAACTTTTGTTCCAGCCCAAGATGATATTTCGTGCACCTACAAGTTTGACAAAGTGACGGAGTCCTTTTCCCAGTCATTTCCGCTTGTGATGATGGAATTGGGAACGCGAAATAGCTAGAGTGAGGAAATTAGGAACGCGTTCCTAATTCCGTCGTGATCTGAGGATTCTAACGATGTCGAATTCTGCTTAATTCTGAATACTTTTCTTAAGCGAAAAAATTATTCGCGCGATCGATCGCCATTTTATCCAGCCATTTTGGCTGGAGGTTATGGAATTTGGACTATCAATTCGACGAATGAAACATCATTCGATGCAGAAGTATTTGCTCTACTCTCGAAACTAAACATCAACTTTCTACGATGAGAAACTGTGGAGTAATAAACAATCTATTAAGACGCTCGAAAAAAGGGAATGGAATTCGGACGTCTGACTTTATTTATATATATGTGCAACTAGCGACCACTCCGACGCCTCCTTGTGCAACAGTCTCTGTTGGGTCCAACAGTAGTCTCTACGCAACGTCGTCCAACATCAGCAACAGTTCATATACCTGTAAAGCTTATTCATGGACATCGCCCACAACAGGCACGATCGCCCTTGCTTTTCAACTTCGTAATGATCCCGATTATTGGTACGTCGATGATGTGTCAGTGTACAACAGAGATGTTCAAATGCTGGTTAATGGAGGTTTTGAATTAGGTTCTTTGTCACCCGGTTGGAGCAAAACTACACCGAACGGGATTTGTGGAAGTAAAGGAGGCAATGTGACTAGTACTTCGTCACACACTGGCAACTACAGCCTTAAAGATGGGAGCGTCGGATGTGCTGATCAAATAAGTCAATCGTTTGCGGTCATTGTAGGACAAGTCTACGTTGTGAGCTTTTGGATACGGATGGGTGGGAGTGGAGTAAATATATCGGCTTCTGTCACTCTGTCCTAATCCATGTCATTAAAAAAATATAACTGTCTCTTTCAATCGATACTCTATACTCTTATGAACTGAAACTCAAAAATCCAACAGTTAGTAGAGAGCACCGATTTATTGTAAAAGATTTATCGAAAATTTTTCTTCGTAATGTTGTTTGCGATTCATGAAGATGTATTTCAGGAATAACAACAAAAATTTCAAAATACTAATATCTGCTGCTTCTGACACTGAAAACTCAGCATTTTCCTATCACTCAGCTTTCTTCTAACCTTGATCTCTGGTTTTGGTTGAGGACAAATCAACTACCGTCTTCTGAAAATTCCAGGGCGACCTTCATGAATCGAAGGGATATTAACAACAGACGCTAACACTCAACTTTCTACCGATGCTAGACGTGCATTAACCATAACATACGTTGATAGTAGACAATCGCACACTGATGGCAGTGCACACCGGTCTATTTAGTTAGTCGATTCAATAAGTTTGAAGAGTTTTGCGTGCGAACTAGAAGATTGTTCTTCTAGTTTGTATGCCAGAGCGGCAGTCTTTTTAAATTCAATTGAAATCAAAATTGCTCATTTGCAAAACCTTTTCACAAGAACAATGTGTCAAAGCAGTACACAACGTAAAGCCATCTGCTTTCTTTATTCAAAACACA